AATGGTGCGCCAAAGTCCCTAAATGTCTTTCGATTTGCACGAAATTTGGCATAGCGTACTGAAGTAGGCCTAGAATGACGTGCGTAAAGTTTCGTGAACATCGGTTCAGATTTAGATATAGCTTCCATATATTTTTCCGTCCGATTTAAGGTAAATGGTGTGCCAAAGTCCCTAAATATCTTTCGATTTGCACAAAATTTGGCATAGCGTACTGAAGTAGGCCTAGAATGACTTGCGCAAAGTTTCGTGAACATCGGTTTAGATATAGCTCCTATAAATATTCGTTCGATTTAATGTAAATGGTGCACCAAAGTCCCTAAATATCTTTCGATTTGCACGGTTCGATTTAATTCAGCGTACTGAATTAGGCCTGGAATGATGTGTGCTAAGTTTCGTGAAAATCGGTTCAGATTTAGATATAGCTCCTATATATATATATATATATATATATATTCGTCCGATTTCAGGTAAATGGTGCGCCAAAGTCCCTAAATGTCTTTCGATTTGCACGAAATTTGGCATAGCGTTCGGTTCAGATTTAGATATAGCTCCCATATATATTTTCGTCCGATTTTATGTAAATAGTGCACTAAAGTCCCTATATATCTCGCGATGTGCACGAAATTTGGCATAGTGTAATGAATTAGGCCTAGAATGACGTTTGCTAAGTTTCGTGAAAATGGGTTCAGATTTAGATATAGATTCCATATATATCTTCGTCCGATTTAAGGTAAATGGTGCGCCAAAGTCCCTAAATATCTTTCGATTTGCACAAAATTTGGCATAGTGTACTGAAGTAGGCCTTGAATGACGTGCGTAAAGTTTCGTGAACATCGGTTTAGATTTAGATATAGCTCCTATATATATTCGTTCGATTTAATGTAAATAGTGCACCAAAGTCCCTAAATATCTTTCGATTTGCACGGTTCGATTTAATTCAGCGTACTGAATTAAGCCTAGAATGATGTGTGCTAAGTTTCGCGAAAATCAGTTCAGTTTTAGATATAGCTCCCATATATATTTTCGTCCGATATAATGTAAATGGTGCACCAACGAATAGCGTATACCAATTTTGATATAAATCGGTTTGTTCCATGGTACGTAGACGACTCCAAATCTGCCCGAATGAAATTAAATTTATCATAGGTTGCGGAAAGACATGAGGGAACATTGACATATAATTGTAAGGATACATATGTACAATATAGCCAAGTGGTGAAGGGTATCACATAGTCGGCCCAGTCTGACTTTATTACTTTCCTTACTGGTTTTAGGATGAATTTCTTTAAGAATAGTTTTCAAATCTTATTTTTTAAGAGTCGATTTTTTAAAAAAAAATTTTTAAGTCTTATTTTTAGGCGGTGATTTTTTAAAGAATATTTTTCAAGACCTATTTTTGGGCCTGGATATTTCAACTAATATTTTTCCATAGAAAAAATCGATTGGCCTCAGCGACCCCCCTTAATATATGTACATAAATAATATCTGAACAGTTATTTCAACTTATTTAATATTAAATATTAAAACAAATCAAAAAAATAATTTCCCGGTAAATACAAATAATTCTAGTACGCCTACAAGTTTATTTTTTTGTAAAAACAAAGTACTTCGGGTTAATAAACTATTGGCGGCGGCAGCTGATGAATTTTTAATTTACAAACAAAAATAAAATAAAAATCTCGTGAATAATATCCAACTAACGACGACTGAACAACAATCACAAATGTCTACTTTATTCCTATCACACCAGAATGCGTTCATCGGATATTGTTGTCTGACAAGAAATTAGAAGAATATCTATTTGAATATTTTAGCTTGAGGAGACTGAAATGAAAATGAAAACAAAAACTGGTTTGCCACACAAATGAAACATACCGACACACACACTCTCGCTCAAATTCTCAAACTCATAATATTTATTCCTTGTGGAATTATTAAATCATTTCTAACCCGATCACCTATCATGGCCTAGACCCATTTACGAACCAGACGATTATGATACCACGAAACATAAATGCAAGTAAAAGTAGGAATCAGTAGCAAGGTGAAGGGTGGTGTTATTCCGTCAATCAATCATAACAAAAGGCAAATCAAAAATAATAAAAAAAAATTAAAACAAGAATGCCGCCACACATTTGAAATCTTAAAATAGTTTTGCGGTTTTTTGATCTGACTGACTGATTGAACGAACGAACGAATATCAGCTAACAACATCGCAACAGAGACCAATAAAAACTAACATTCTCGGGGAGTAATGAGACTGGGACAAATATAGAGTGAGCAAGTCAACATGTTTGGAGAGACTGTGAGAGAAAGAGAGGGAGTCAATGAGAGCACAAACATACCACAGTGTTACTACTACTTTATTACTTTTATAGAAAAAATGCTCGCCTTATAGAAGCCTTCCTTCTAAATCCCCGCCTTATAGGAACCTTGAAAAAAAAAACATTTTTAAAAAAACACGCCTTTGTTAGTCTTGAAAATATTCTTAAAAAAATCCACGCCTTTCAAATATTCTTTAAAAAAACGTGCCTTTGTTAGGGCCTTAAAAATATTCTTTAAAACATCCAAATCTTGTTTAGGGCCTTAAAGATCTACGCCTCAAATAGACCTTAACAAATATTCTTTAAAATTAAAAAAAATATATACATTAAAAAAGTCCACAACTTTGTTAGGGCCTTAAAAAACTTCCACTAACTTTGTGTTATTCTATATTCTGATCTTGGGCAATATTTGCACTCTCTTGACCTCCACCGTGGGTTGTGTTGTTATGTTCGGATTTCAATTGTGGATTTTGTAATTTTTCACACAAAACTCAGTGTCCATTTGACCCGCTAAATATTGACCGATTTTTAAATTAAAAAAATATACATTAAAAATATTCTTTAAAAATCCACACCTATAAATAGGCATTTAAAAATATTATACGTATTAAAATTGCGGCCTAAATATATACCCAGTTATAATGTTTACAAGTTATAATGGACAGACGGACGGACGGATACACACTTTGGGTATATTCTACAAAGTCACCTAACAGACTTAGTCGAGATATGACATGAAATTGAACTTTGGTATACTTAAAGGTGGGTCTAGGAATAATATATATGGCGTTACAAACTCTTGGGGCTGCACAAAGCACAAATTAATACCCACTTACAACATAAATTTCGTGTAGGGTATAAATATTCTTTAAAAATCCACACCTATAAATAGGCCTTTAAAAATATTATAAATATATTTTAAAAATTCAAACCTAAATATATACCTCAAAAATATTCTTAAACCAGCTAAGCCAAATTTCGTGCAACTCGAAAGACTGGGACTTTGTGATACCCTTCACCACTTTGGGTATATTCTACAAAGTCACTTAAAAGACTTTTCGAAAAAACATTGACATGAAATTGAACTTTGGTGCACCATTTACCTTAAATCGGACGAAAATATATATGTGAGCTATATCTAAATCGGAACCGATTTTCACAAAGCTTACCACACATTATTATAGACTCCATTTAGCAAGCTATGCCAAATTTCGTACAAATCGAAAGATATTTAGAGACTTTGGCGCACCATTTACCTTAAATCGGACGAAAATATATATGTGAGCTATATCTAAATCGGAACCGATTTTCACGACACTTAGCACAAATTATTATAGACTCCACTTAGCAAGCTATGACAAATTTCATGCAAATCGAAAGATATTTAGGGACTTTGGCACACCATTTACCTTAAATCGGACGAAAATATATATGGGAACTATATCTAAATCGGAACCGATTTTCACGAATTTAGCACAAATTATTGTAGACATTTAGCAAGCTATGACAAATTTCGTACAAATCGAAATATATTTAGGGACTTTGGCGCACCACTTACCTTAAATCGGACGAAAATATATATGGGAGCTATATCTAAATCTAAACCGTGAACATCGAAACTTAGCACACATTATTATAGACTCCATTTAGCAAGCTATGCCAAATTTCGTGCAAATCGAAAGATATTTAGGGACTTTGGCGCACCATTTACCTTAAATCGGACGAAAATATATATGGGAGCTATATCTAAATCTGAACCGATTTTTCCCAATTTCAATAGGGTTCGTCCTTGGGCCAAATAAATGAGCTGTGCCAAATTTTCATCCAAATCGGATGATAAATGCGACCCGTACTTTGTTTACAATTTAACATCAACATACGGACGGGCAGACAGACGGACATGCATAAATCGACTCAGAAATTGATTCTATGCATATTCTCAAAAGGAACCATGGGTCTACCTCGTTTCCTTTTGCCTGTTACAAACATATGCACAAAGACATAATACCCTGTACCACAGTGTGGTGAAGGGTATAAAAACTCCACGCTTAAAAATAGGCCTTAAATTATTTGTTAAATAACTTCACGCTTAAAAAGAGACCTTCAAATATTCGTCTAAAATCCATGCCTTTGTTAGAACATAAAAAAACATTCTTCAAAAAAATCCAATAGTCCTCGATCTCGTTTACTTCCAAACACTGTGCAGCAATCTGTGCAGTATCGATAAGCTTAAGGTACTTAACTACGATTGACACTCTCTGTAGTTGTTTATGTTCGTAGCCGTAATTGTGGAGAGCGAAAGATAAAGAGTGGGAGAGTATAAAGTGTTATGTTGCTCGTTTAAAATAACCGTTAACACTAAGTTAAACGATCAGTAGTTTGCGAAAGGTCTACGAGGTTAGACCTTTGCAACGGTTTTATTTTTTGTTTGTTTGTTAAACGGAAACCACTAACGAAGAAACAAGTTTTCAAAAAAAAAAATAATAATAAAAATAAAAATAAAAAAATAAACATCCGAAATAAAAACGACAACATAAAAAAGCAATAACAACAACAAAATTTAAAAACAACTCGGGAAAGTGAAAAAAGAAAAGAAAATTGTTTAACGACATTGTTTAAACACACTTGAAGTTGTTGTTAGTGGTAAAATTTATAAAAAAAAAAAAAACAAAAAACATGGACCACGATCACGATCATGACCATCCTGCCGAAACAGCTTCCGATGAACATGATCTGTTGGTTGCCAAATGTTTGGCCATGGCCTCTCTCTTCTGCGCCACAGTCATATTCGGCTGCATTCCATTCTTATTGAACTATTGGCTGAAGTGGACCGAAAAGAAACCCGAATCCCGTTCGGCTCGTGTCGTCCAATATCTGTTGTATTTTGGTGGTGGTGTACTGCTGGCCACAACATTCGTCCACCTGCTGCCCGAAGTGCAGGAGGTGGTGGAACATCTTCAGAGCTGTGGACAAATGGGCGAGACAAATTTCGGTGTGGCCGAAGTTTTAATGTGTGCAGGTTTCTTCTTAATGTACCTCATCGAAGAGTGTGTCCACATGTATCTGCATCGTCACAAGACTTCGCACAAGCCCCACAATGCCGACGAAGATGATTGTGTGGTGGCGGCGTTCGAGAGGGGTCACAGTGTTCGCAACAGTGTTCTGGTTAAGGGAGGACGCAAGAAGAATCATGATTATGTCGCGGAGGACAATGTGGCGGGCACCATTAAAAGTGTTGAGGTCATGGCCGCCAACGGCAATGGAAGTTATGAAAATCCCAGCTATCTGCAGTCGACGCTAAATGTGAATCACCTCATCGGCGAATCGGGTTGTGAAAAACACAGCGACCTGCAATTGGAACCGACCAAGTCACCCTGCCCCACACCCAAACACCATCATGACAATCATGCCAACGATCATCAGCATCACGACCACGGTGGCCACGGCCATTCACATTTGCCTCTCGACTCTGGAAATGGTGATGAAAATGTGGTCAGCTCTTCGCTGCGCGGTTTGGGTATTGTCTTGGCCCTCTCTCTGCACGAAGTCTTTGAAGGATTGGCCATTGGTCTCGAAGATAGCACGTCGTCGGTTTGGTTTCTCTTTGCCGCTGTCTCAGCCCACAAATTGGTATTGGCTTTCTGTGTGGGCGTGGAACTAATTGTGGCACGTACCAAACCCATTCTGGCTGCGATCTATACCATCACCTTTGCCATTGTCAGTCCAATTGGTGTGGCCATCGGTCTGGCCATAAGTCATGATTCTTCGTCGTCAGAGGATAGCTTACCCTCAGCGATACTACAGGGCATTGCCTGTGGTACTCTGCTGTATGTGGTCTTCTTTGAAATTCTTTCTAAAAATCATGCCGGATTGGGTGCATTTTTAGCCATGCTGATAGGATTTTGCCTAATGTTTGGTCTACAAAATATAGGTAAGTAGTACAAGGCATTCACACACACATACAATTATATACAGCCATATAATATTGAAAAATGATTTATGGATTGATTGATAACAGCCAATTACCTAAGACGACGTGGATTGGTCAGTTATTGAAAATACGAACAATACAGGGTTTGGAAAAATTGTGATTAATGGGGCAAGACCATATTTTAATTGAAATAAATTGCAGTAGATTTAGATATTAGATATAAGAACAAATTTTCAGGGCTATTTTAAGGCGTGAATTTAAAAAAAATATATTTTTTTCAAGGCCTTATCAATGCTTGGATTTTTTAAAGAATATTTTTTATTTCGGAGTTTTGTCTATAATGAAATCGCAATCACTGAAGTCGAACTTTTATATAAAAAATCTTAGACCCCCAGATCGAAAAAATCGTATATCCTCAGATAAGAGTTTTTTTTCTATAAAAAAAATCGGAAATCCTCATGTCGGTTCTTTCTATAGGCAAAAATTTAGCAGACCTTCAGCTCGGAAAATTGTAGACCCTCAGGTCGGAGTTTTTTCTATAAAAAAAAATCCTAGACCTCAGGTCGAAGTTTTTTCTATAGAAAACCAGTAAGGAAAGAAGTAAAGTCGGGCGGGGCCGACTATATGATACCCTTCACCACTTTGAGTATATTCAAAATATGAATCCCAACAGACGTCGCATTTTTAAAGGACCAGTAAACTGAAATTGGATCCATAAACATGTCATTCTGCAGCCGATACTAAATTTTTCATTTGATCAGATATAGAAGTTATATCTAAATCTGAACCGATTTCAGGAAACTTAATACACAACATTCTAGACCTAATTCATTACGCTGGGCCAAATTTCGTGCAAACCGAAAGACATTGAGGAACTGTGGTACACCGTTTGCCTTAAATCGGACGAAAATATATATATGGGAGCTATATTTAAATCTGAACCGATTTTCAGGAAACTTAACACACATCATTCTAGAGCTAATTCATTACGCCGTGCCAAATTTCATGCAAATCGAAAGATATTAAGGGACTTTGGTGCAAAATTAACATTAAATCGGACAAAAATATATATGTGAGCTATATATAAATCTGAACCGATTTTCACGAAACTTAGCACACCTCATTCTAGGCCTATATCATTACGTTATGCCAAATTTCGTGCACATCATAAGATATATAGGGACTTTAGTGCAACATTTACATAAAATCGGACAAAAATGTATATGGGAGCTATATCTAAAACAGAACCGATTTTCACGAAACTTAGCACACATCGATCTATGCTTAATTCAGTATGAAGAGCCAAATTCCGTGCAAATCGAAAGATATATAGGGACTTTAGTGCACCATTTACATAAAATCGGGCGAAGATATATATGGAAGCTATATCTAAATCTGAACCGATTTTTACGAAATTTAGCACACATCATTCTAGGCTTAATTCAGTAGGATGTGCCAAATTTCGTGCAAATCGAAAGATATATTGGGACTTTTGTGCAATATTGACATCGGACGAAATCGGACGAAAATATATATGGGAGCTATATCTAAATCTGAACCGATTTTTCCCAATTTCTAGAGATTTCGTCCTTGGGCCAAATAAATGAGCTGTGCCAATGTGCGACCTGTACTTTGTTTACAATTCAACATGGACAGACAGACAGACGGATGGACGGACATGCATAAATTGATTCAAAAAGTGAGTCTATGCATATTCTCAAAAGGAACTATGGGTCTATCTCGTTACCTTTCGCCTGTTACAAACATATGCACAAAGACATAATACCCTGTACCACAGTGTGGTGAAGGGTATAAATAGAGATCTGAGGGTCTATATTTATGCCCTTTACCACACTGAAAAAAAATATATTTTTTTAAATCCACGCCTTGAGTAATCATAAAAAAAATATTTTTAAAAAATCAACGCCTCTTGTAGGAATTGAGAAAATGCTTAAACAAATCGGCTCTCCGCAGATTTTAGTTTTTTTTATTATTTTCTTCTATAGAACAAATTCACAGACCTCTGGTTTTTGGTTTGTTCATAGTCCATAAAATTATGCGAAATAACCTCCAATACTTAACGAGTTATCGCAATGCAGAATTGTTATCTTCACGTTTGCATATCTCAAGATTTATAGTACCAACCGAGATATCAGTTGGAAAAAATATTTTGTTTTTTTTTTCGAAACCCTTCAAGTGTACAAACAATTTAATCGACGGCACTGAGAAAAACATCACACGGCGTCGATTGAGGAAAGGCAAACAACAAAAAATATATATAACACGAAAAGTTAAAGAGTTATTGTAGCGACTCCATTTTGAATTAACGTCCATCATTAACGATCGAGTGGGTGCATACCTCTTCGAGGTGTTGTTAGGGTTTCGTAAGAAAACAACAACCAAAAAAAACAAAAACGAAATTATTCTTATCTCCTGTAGTGGGTTGTGTTCTACAAATGATTTCGATAATTTTTTATATAAAAAAAAAAACACTTCGGAGGTTCATTAAGGTGGCAACAACAATAAAAAAATAATAATTCTTTTATTGTTTTTGTATTTTTTGTTAGTGTTTTTCTTTTTGGACAATTAGTAATCCATAACACACGTTGAGGTTGGTTCGGGTTTTGTTTTTTTGTCTGCTATTTGAATATTAACTAGGTATAACAACGGAAATCTTTGAGACGCGCGCCGCACAATAAGGCACACGACAGAACCTAAAATGAGTGATTCAAATTAAGACTGGTTGGTGCTATGACCATAAATAGGAAACTGTGTTCAATACGGAAGTCACTTCAGATTGGAAGACGCTAAGCTTTTGGTTAAAGATTCACACGAACTGAACGTCATCCACTCAGTATTATAAATTAACAAGCCCTAAGGGTTTATTTTTTAGTTACACGGAAGGTAAGAGAACATAATTGGAAATATTAAAGTCTGACAGGGAAGAACCTCCACCCTATGTGATGGGAACTTTCTATATTTTAAATTAAATATATATGTTTAATTTTACCTAATTTCAGATTCATATTTCAAATCTTATCGGTCAGTTTATTGTCAATGACTAGTTGATTTTCGATCTTTTTTTGTTCTGCAGTCGAAACGAAAAACGGCAGACGTCAATTGACATAAAGGAACCCGATTAAATCTGATTAAATTTTGGTAATATATTTTTAGAAAGTATCACGAAAAAAGTTTACGATTTATATCAACTAAACCCCACCACTACCTAATGAAATTATGTTATCGGCCTTAGGTGTCCGGACAATTATCTCTAACAATAAATATTGTGTTTTTATCCCTGGGAGAGTTATTTGAAATGTCAGTTGTTTGACGTCGTTGTTGTTGTTGTAGTGCAACGACTTTTTTCATTCAAATATTATTTGAATTTATGAATACAAGATAGAGCGTCCACAGCAGCAGATAAATGATGATATAATTCATGTGCATTCACTTAAAACTTGTGAATTTTTTTAAATATGGCGTGAATTAAAAAAAAAAATTAAGACCAACCCAAAAGCGTGTATTCCATAAGAAAAAATTGTAGACCATAGATCCGAGTTTTTTTCTATAGAAAACCAGTAAGAAAAGTAGTAAAGTCGGACTGGGCCGACTATATAATATCCTTTTCCACTTTGGGTATGTTCTACATATGTATCCTACATAACAGACGCCTTGGCCTTTTCGAAGGAACATTGAAATGATATTGAACGAACCTCAATCTAAATCTAACCCGATTTTCTCGAAACTTAACACACGAGCTATTGTAGGGACAGATTTCCATTTCAAAGGCACGAAATTTCCCATGAACATGCAGAACAACAACAACATCAAGTGTAAATCCAAATACAGAGAAAATTTCTGTGAATACACCTGTCATGAGAGAACAAATATATAAAAGAGGTTGTTAGAAATACTTCAAGGTACAAAACATTCAATTAGCGTAACTTCAATACATTGTACAAAATTGTGTACCGGTCGGCCAAACTTTGGGTCTTTAGTGCACAATTTACATTAAATCGGACAAAAATATATATGGGAGCTAAATCTAAATATATACCGATTTTCACGAAACTTAGCATACAACATTCTGGACCTATGTTAGTAACCTATGGCAAATTTCGTGCAAATCGACAGATATGTAAGGACTTTGGTGCCCCAATTACCTTAAATCGGACGAAAATATATATGAGAGCTATATTTAAATCTGACCCGATTTTCTCAAAACTTGGCACACATCATTCTGGACCTAATTCAGTACTCTATGCCAAATTTCGTACAAATCGAAAGATATATAGGGACTTTGGTGCACCATTTACATAAAATCGGACAAAGCTATATATGGGAGCTATATCTAAATCTGAACCGAATTTCCCGAAACTTAGCACATATCATTCTGGGCCTAATTCAGTACCCTCTGGCAAATTTCGTGCAAATCGAAAGATATGAAGGGACATTGGTGCTCCGTTTACCTTAAATCGGACGAAACTATATACGAGAGCTCTATCTAAATCTGACCCGATTTTCTCGAAACTTGACACACATCATTCTAGCCTCAATTCAGTACGCTATGCAAAATTTCGCGCGAGTCGAAAGATATATAGGGACTTTGGTGCACCATTTACATAAAATCGGACAAAGCTATATCTAAAATCTGAACCGAATTTTCCGAAACTTAGCACATATCATTCTGGGCCTAATTCAGTATCCTATGCCAAATTTCGTGCAAATCGAAAGATATGTAGGGACTTTGGTGCCCCGTATACGTGAGCTATATCTAAATCTGATTCGATTTCCTTTAATTTCAATAGGGTTCGTGCTTGGGCCAAATAAGTGAGCTGTACCAAATTTCAACCAAATCGGATCATAAATGCGACCTGTACTTTGTTTACAATTTAACATCTACAGACGGGCGGACGGACGGACATGCATAAATCGACTTAGAAAGTGATTCTATAAATATTCTCATAAGGAACCGTGTGTATATCTCGTTTCCTTTTGCCTGTTACAAACATATGCACAAAGACATAATACCCTGTACCACAGTGTGGTGAAGGGTATAGAAAAAAATTCGTAGACCCTCAAGTCGGATTTTTTCTATAGAAAAAAAATTCGTAGACCCTCAGGTCGTTTTTTTTTCTATAGAAAAAAATTCATAGACCCTCAGGTCGGTTTTTTTTCTATAGCAAAAAAATCTTAGAACATTAAGTCAAAGTTTCTTCTATAGAAACAAATTTTAGACCCCTATCTGGGTGCTTTTTCTATAGAAAAATATTCGTAGAGTCTCAGTCAGAGTTTTTTCTATAAAAAATCGTAGGCCTTCAGGTCGGAGGTTTTTCTATACAAAATTGGTAGAATCTCAGTTCTGAGGTTTTTATCCCTTTGAATAACAAAAATGTCCAAAATTTTATCTTCGGTAAAATTGGCGGCAAACTATAAATAATCAAAGCTTTCCATTTGATGAAATATCATAATTTAAAATATTATTAAATTAAAATAGACAATAATCTATTTATGTCACATGTCAAACTGGTGGTGGCCCGATTTCAAAGACATTATTTAAAATACCGACCCAGCCAACACCTACAATTTTATTCGATAATTTTTCACATTTAATTTAAAGCCTTCATTTCAAATTTGCAGCAATGTGAATGATGTTTGAATATAATTCCTTCACCTGATATGTTTCCTAACAATCTTGACAACTGACATTTTTTATGAAACGAAAAAAAAATCCCCAGATAACATCTGTAGTACTGTGTACGTACTTCTCGACAAGTAGTATTTACCTAACGAATTTTTGTCTCACTGTCTGTCTGTTCGTCTGTATCCACAGAATTTTTGCGCTAAATTAAGTTGCCAAAGGAGATAACAACAATGTTTTAATGTAATAACAACAATAAAAAATAATATCGAATGAAATGCACTGCCACTTGGAGATATGACCAATGTGTGGACTAGAGGACGGAAGGGGTATAGACACGTTTTTGATTTACCATACACCTACCTCTCGAAATTTGTTATTATCTATGACGAAATGTGTTGAGTTTTGTTTTCTTTGCATGGAAAATAAACAAGTGCTTGTCATAAATTTTACTTAAATATTGAAACAAAAAATGTATTTAAAAGTTTACTCCTTGGAGTGGCAGGTGACAACAAATATTGAAACAAAAGAAGTACTCGGCTTTAGGAATTATAATTTAGATTAAAAAGTCATTGAACTTCGTATCCCAGAATTTTAATCAATTGCATTTAAGTTATTGAGGTTTCTATTCATTAGCATGCGCACTTTCTCAGTTAAGATTATCTGTTAAAATTCGGATAATGATAGGCAATTGCCCTGATGATTAGTTCCATCAAAAAATAAATAATTTTTTCTATAGAAAAAACTCCGACCTGAGGGTCTACGAATTTGTTTCTATTGAAAAAACCCCGACCTGAGGGTCTACGAATTTTTTTCTATAGAAAAAAACTCCGACCTGAGGGTCTACGAATGTTTTTCTACAGAGAAAAAAACTCCGACCTGAGGGTCTACGAATGTTTTTCTACAGAGAAAAAAACTCCGACCTGAGGGTCTACGAATGTTTTTCTACAGAGAAAAAAACTCCGACCTGAGGGTCTACGAATGTTTTTCTACAGAAAAAAAAACTCCGACCTGAGGGTCTACGAATTTTTTTCTATAGAAAAAAAAACTACGAGCTGAAGGTCTACGAATTTTTTTCTATAGAAAAAAAAACTCCAACTTGAGGGTCTATAGAAAAAAAACTCCGACCTGAGCGTCTACGAATTTTTTTCTATAGAAAAAAAGTACGACCAAAAAATTCACGCCTATTGGTTGGAGATGGAAAAAGATGTTCAAAATTCGACGCCTATTTTTATTTTTCTATTTATTTAATAAATAAATAATTTTCCATTTCTTTCTTATTTTCCAGGAGAAGGTCATGATCATGACCATGACGGATGTCCTGCAATAGATGTAGAAACCACAACGACAAAACTACTAGAGTTGGCCACAGCAACAACAAGCAAATTTACAGCATAGACGACGACTGCCTGTGACTGTTGCAGAACACAAAAATATAGAGATTGGCTAATACCTATTAGCCGACATACGATTAGTTAGTATTTATACATAAATATACGTACATACATATATATATAAAACATGAATAACATGTGATATTTTCTAGTTTTAAGTAATAAAAAAATGAAACAAAAACGATGATTAAGATCGATTGTAAAAAAATACAAAAATTAAAATGAAAAAAAAATAAATAAAAAAATAGAGTAAAAGAAAAACGAGAGAAAAAATAAATAGTATTACTAATTGTAAAATAATGTGCATTTTAAATCGGACTTAAAGCAGAAAATATGACTGATTTCAATACGCGAGGAAAAAAAACATGACGGATGACTTCATAAAGAGGAGGAGGTTACCTATACGAAAAAATCCCCAAAAACATCTTTTGAAATATTCATTTCATCACCTGGATTGTGGTTAGGTGGAGGGGAAACACATACGAAACTTTAGACACCAAAATAACACCCCAGGAAAATTGAAAAAAAAATCCCCAATAAAAGACATAGCAAGCCGAACAGCCATGACTTAATGGTGAATGAGGGGAAGAACATTGTTGGGAGAAAAAAAATTACCATAAAACAATCATTCCATAAAAATTTATATAAACCAGTACGGAAAGGTGTACAGTCGGACTGGGCCGACTATATGATACCCTTCACCACTCTGGGTATTTCTACAAAGTCACTTAACAGACTTTTCGAAAAAAACATTGACATGAAATTGAACTTTGGTGCACCATTTACCTTAAATCGGACGAAAATACATATGCGAGCTATATCTAAATCTGAACCGATTTTCACGAAACTTAGCACACATTATTATAGACTCCATTTAGCAAGCTATGCCAAATTTGTGCAAATCGAAAGATATTTAGGGACTTTGGCGCACCATTTACCTTAAATCGGACGAAAATATATATGGGAGCTATATCTTAATCGGAACCGATTTTTCCCAATTTCAATAGGGTTCGTCCTTGGGCCAAATAAATGAGCTGTGCCAAATTTTCATCCAAATCGGATGATAAATGCGACTAAATCGGATGATAAATGCGACCAGTACTTTGTTTACAATTTAACATCAACAGACGGACGGACGGACATGCATAAATCGACTCAGAAAGTGATTCTATGCATGTTCCCCCAAGAAGCCATGGGTCTATCTCGTTTCCTTTTGCCTGTTACAAACAAAGACAATACCCTGTACCACAGTGTGGTGAAGGGGCTTAACTCTAGTTTAGTAAAAACGATCAGATTTTTCTGAAATTTTTTTCCAGAGGTAGGTATTTTTACCCTAATTATGGGGATATCTTGTTTTCTTGGGGGACGTATCCGATTACCCGGTTATTTGACCCGGAAGTTCGGGTAAAATGGGTATAATTGTAAAGGATACAAAAATACCTTTTCTTTAAAGGTTATAAAAATACCTTCAGGATTGGAGAGGGACTATAATGGACCCAAGCTCGACTTTTATGGAGTTTTACAAAAAATCGGGGACCAATACCCCATCATATCACCACTCAAATTTTAAACTGATACCCATTTTATATAAACCGAATCCGTAGAACCGGGTACCCGTACCCGAACTTCCGGGTCAAATAACCGGGTAATCGGATACGTCCCCCAAGAAAACAAGATATCCCTATAAGTAGAACCGGATATAACCGGGTACCCTTACCCGAACTTCCGGGTCAAATAACCGGGTAATCGGGTACGTCCCCCAAGAAAACAATATATCCCCATAATTTTGAACAACTTTCAGCGGCGATTTTTAGCCGGTTTGAGCAGATGAAATCGTCGGCGACCAGCTCACTTGAATCGGCGCCCCGCCGATTCACAGTCGGCTCGCTTCCACCTCTGTTCAGGAGGTATAATTATATTGGGGATAGATGCCTAAATGCTGGCCGATATATTTCATTATCGTCAGGTTCGAGTTTTTTTTATCACGATTTCCTTAGAAAGCAGAATGATTACAACCGATGGCTAAATCATAATAGAATTCCATAATTTGTAGGGTAAAACTGACTATTTCGAGTAACGACTATACTATGGTAGAATACGCCTATATGGGGACACGGAATAAATCAGCTAACTACTTTAATATAAAAAGGGGGTTATATGGGAACTACTCTTAAAAGGGCCCGAATGTTAATAATTTCCGGTATTAAGATTTGTTACCATATGCGACTACAAAATAGCAAATTACAGCGAATTCTATTGAAAAACGCCCTCAAGAACCTTTATGGGAACACGGAACTAATCAGCTAACTATTTTAATATAAGAAGGGGGTTAAATGGGAACTACTGCTAAAAGGGTCCGAATATAAATAATTTTTGATATTAAGATTTGTTTCCATATGCGACTACACCAAATACCAAATTTCAGCGAATTCTGTTGAAAACGCGCTCAAGAACCCCAAAATACCGAAAATTTGGGGGTACCCTTATATGCGGGCTACCTGAAAAAAATTATAATTTTTTGTAGAGAAATTTGGTACCCAATAAGAACCCATTGTGGAAAATTTCGGCGAATTCGGTTTAAAATCGCGCTTAAAACCTCCCCAAAATACCGTAAATGGGGGCTACCAAAATATCGTTATATGAGGGCTACCAGAAAAAGTGGACCGATAATTATAATTTGTAGTGAAGACATTTGGTTCCCAAAAAGAACCCAATGTAACAAATTTCAGCGAATTCAGTTGAAAAGCGCGCCCAAGAAACCCAAAATATCGAAAATTGGGCGGTATCCTTATGTGGGAGCTACCCGAAAAAAATGGCCTTTATTTATAAGTTTTAGTGGAGAAATTTGGTACCCAATAAGAATCCATTGTGCCAAATTTCAGCGAATTCGGTTTAAAAACGCGTCCAAGAACCCCAAAATACCGAAAATTGGGGGTGCCCTTATATGGGAGCTACCCGAAAAAATTACCTTTATTTATAAGTTTTAGTGGAGACATTTGGCATCCAAAAATAATTCAATGTACCAAATTTCAGCGAATTCGGTTGAAAAGCGCGCTCAAGAAACCCAAAATATCGTAAATTGGGCGGTACCCTTATATGGGGGTTATGCCTAAAAGTCGACCCATATAGCCAATTTTGAAATTGACTTTCCTGCAGACAAAAGACGACTCAATGCAAAATTTTGCATTCCTTCAGAAGATAGCGTGATTTAACAGACGGACGGACATGGTTAGATCGTCTTAGAATTTTATCTTCATCAAGAATATATATACCTTATAGGGTGGGAAATGAATATTTCTAGGTGTAACAAACGAAATGACAAAATTAATATACCCTCCATACTATATTGGAGGGTATAAAAATCACGCTCCGAATGACAGCTGGGAAAAAGCTTGAAAAAAATCCGTTCATGAAAAAATGTTTGTTTTTAATCCATCCATCCCCTATTGGATTCCTCCTGATGTTCGTAAACCAAAATCATTGTAGGTTCCTCCCCATCACGCTTGGCCTTGCCGATGCCTTGTTTGATATGTTCCCTAAAAAAATACAATAGCTTCTAACTAAACATACATAATAACACCGGAAAATAAACAACAACATCAAAAAAAAAAAAAACAATTAAATGTTGAAATAAAAATTGTTATAGACAACAACAGTAACATCGATTGGTATTGGGATATCCAATCGAAGCAATGTTCGGATTTCATAGAAGCAGCGATGAGTCAGTCTCAAACACACGCTCCCAAACAACTCACTCAAACCCAACATTCAATCACACTTTTTTGTTTTCAATAATAACAAACACACAAATAAAATATTAATTAATTTATGTCATTTTTTGTTGTTGTTGTTTTTCGTTAGTGCCGATCTAATGAATTGTATTTAAAAGTCTTGGGAAAGTTGTAGTTGTTGTAAACAGAAAAAAATGTAAATATTATTCATTTTTTCAAAACCACAAATCGGTGACATGGGCTGAACCATTTTTTGTTTAACATTTGCATTAAAGTCGTGACACATAGGTTGGGAACATAGGTTGGCTGGCTTTGGGTCTTAACCAAAGTGACTCTCACTCCCTATACAACCACCAACACCAACCATTGAGAAAACAAGTTTTCAATAAACCACAAAGAAAAAAACTTATATACTTGGAATTTGTCTTGGGAATTCTTGTTTTTGAAGCAACAGCAGCAGCAACTTTAGACCGACCGCAGCAACATCAGTTGATCTTGATAATAAGGCGGCTGATGCAGTAACAAAACAAAAAATAAATATTGACTGCATTACTTGTTGCTGATGGCAAGTGAGTGTGCAAGAGTATGTAGCGTTAATATTTCAAAAAAAAAAAACAAGTTTTCAAAGTTTTTTTTTTAAATATTGCATACATAAGTAATAGCTAAGCTGAAGAGATTATACCCTACACGGGTGAGATTGATGGGAGGCTATCTACCATTAGAGGCCAACTGAAGAGAAAAATTAACAGATATTGAAATTTTTTCAAATATTTGTTCTAATCAAATTAAAGGCTGCCATTAGAGTCGTGGATCAAGTCAAACCAATAGACGTGGATTTTTTAAAAATATTTTTCAAGTCAAAACAATTTTCCTAGATTTTTTAAAATAATTTCAAGCTTCAAATATAGCCGTGGATTTAAAAATATTTTTTCAAGCTTAAAAATAGGTTCTTCAAGATTAAAAATAGGAGTGGAATTTTTAAAAATATTTTTCCAACAGCAAATGTAGGCGTGGATTTAAAAAAAATTCAATCGATTTTTTTTTAATATTTTTCAAAAAATTTCAACAAATTTTTAAATTGGTGTGGATTATTAAATATTTTCATTTTTAAATTTTTATAACGTCGACAGTCGCCATACGTTAACATTAAAGTTGCTAGGTATTTCACAAAGCCAAAGGGTAACTCACCAATACAACAATTTGTGAACAGATACAGGGTATTCCGTCAAATACAAAATACGAACATAGCCCAGACCAACACCAATTTGTTCGA